TGCCCAGACCCTCAAGTTTTATGCAGACCTAATAACTAATGGTTTAAGTTATTGTGACTGCTAAATGCAGGCGTCTTGGAATAGCACACATTCATCATGTTTAATGTCCCTGGCCCTTCATTCTCCAGCAAAGGAGCCAAGCCCCATCATGGTAAAGTGGTGCATTCATGATACTCTCCAGACACTGAGGGTTTTAAACAGAGAGTTTATTTGATTTTATGTCATCTCCAGTAAGTTCACAAAGCATTCATTCTCTCAAAAACTCAGAGAAGGGACAAGAAGGAAATTTGAATTTATTATATCATATTCTCTCTCTCTTTCTCTCTCTCTCCATCTTTCCCTTGCCCTCCTCTCTCCCTCTTTCCCTCCTTCCTTCCTTTCTTTAGACAGGGTCTCATGTAACCAAGCTGGCACTAAATTCACTAAGTAGCTGAGGATAACCTTGATTCTCTTCCTCCTCTTGAGTGCTAGGATTCCAGGTATATGCCACCATGTCCAGTTTATGCGGTACTGGGGATAGAAACCAGGGATTCATGCATTCTAGGCAAGCACTCTACTAACCTCCCCAGAGGTTTACTTTCTGTAAGATAAATTTGTGCTCACTCCTAGTAACAATAAAATTTTCATATGATCTTAATACAAAGGCTTAGTATTTAAAAGGTTTGTGTTGTAGTTTATTAAAAAATAGGAAGTGATTCTTTGAAAGTACTTAATATATTTTTCCTCATGCATGCCAGGCAAGCATCTACTGCAGAGCTGTAGTCCCAGCCCTTGCTTTTCCATTCTTAGAAGTTACAGAACGCTAATGAAAGGCTTGTTTTCTTCACTCTCACAGCTCAGATTTCCCTGCCTAGGGAATGTTGCCACCCACTGTGGGCAGATCTTCCCCCTTTAACTAATGTAACCAAGATAATTCCCTCAGACATGACCAGAACCTTGCCTCCCCAATGATTCTAGACAGTATCAAGTTGATAATTAAAACTAATCATCACATAGAGCCTGGAGAAACAACTCCGTAGTCAAGAGCATGTACTGTTCTTGCAGAGAACTGGGTTCCGTTCCCTGCACCCACATCTGGTGACTCACAACTACTCATAACTCCAGCTCCAGGGGATTCAACAATCTCTTCTAGCCTTCATAGGCACCCACATGTACATGTACATACCCACATGCATATCCATGTAATTTTTTTAAAATTGGGGCTGGAGAGACATCTCAGTGGTTAAGAGCACTTGCTGTTCTTGCAAAGGATCAGGGTTCAATTCCCTGTACCTACATTCTAGCTTACAAAAGTCTGGAACTCCAATTCCAGCAGATACAGTGCTGTCTTCTGGCCTGCATATGGTCACAGACATTCAGGAAAAACACTCATAGACATAAAATAAAAATAAATAAAATCTTTTTTAGAAATCTAAAATTGAAGCATGGCATGGTGGCACACGCCTTTAATCCCAGGACTCAGGAGGCAGAGGCAGGTGGATCTCTGTGAGTTCAAGGCCAGCTTGGTCTACATAGTGAGTTCCAGGACAGCTGGGGCTACAGGGAGACCCTGTCTCAAAAAGACCAAAAAAAAAAAATCTAAAATTGTTTAAAAACCTATCACAGTAAATAAGCACTCTGTCACTGAGCTGCATTTCTAGCCCCACCATCCATACAAGTTCAACAATGACAACAGTAGCAGCAAGGAGAGCAGAGTGCAGAGGTCTCATTACAATTCAGTGACTGGGACCACTCCAGCACCTTCTGACTCTTGGTGCTTGGAATTTTATGTCCTTAAGAAACTGTTTATTTCTCCAGGCTGGCGAGTGCATCAGGAACTTGGCTTCATGTAATCATCATTAAACAAATACCTTGATACCTTTTCTATAGAAATTATCAGAGCTTTGGAGTTAATTGAAAACAGCATTTATCACCAGTGGGAAAAACCAAGAGGATTTTAGGAAGATTGTTTCACTTTTTTTTTTAATGCAGTCATGTGGCATTTATTAGAAGATCCCTGAGTTCAAACTAGACCTCAGTGGAACAGCTCTGAGACAAACCCTATAGGTGCTAACCTATGGGTATCACAGTATGAGGCCCCATGAGGCCCTGGACTTATCTTCAGAGACCATGTGTGGACAGTGATGGACCATTGCCCAAGGCATGCTTACCTCTCCATGGGCATATGCAGCCTCTGCTGCTGTAACCCAGAACATTAGTTCTGTCTAGGTAATTTTGGTAGAGCAGCTGATGCTAAGTTGTACCTAAGTGTCTGCTAGGCTGAACTGCATGTTTAGGATGGTATAGCCTTAGACATCCTTGTATATTAGTTATTCTCTTGGCTGTGGCAAAAATATCTGACCAAAGCCACTTAAGAAAGGGCTTATTTTGACTCAGTTTAAAGTACAGTCTATCATGGTGGGGAAGGTGTGGTGGCAGGAGCAAAAGGTAACTGGTCACATTGTATCTGAAGTCAGGAAGCAGAGAGATGAATGCTAGTGCTTAGCTCACTTTCTCCTTTTCATTCAGCCCAAGACTGCAGCCCATGGAGTGATGCCACTCACAGTTAGGGTGTGTCTTCCCACCTCAGTGAACCCAATCTAGAAATCCCCTCACAGACATGCACAGAAGTTTTTTCCCATGGTGATCCTACACCCCATCAAGTTGACTATTGAGATTATCCATCACATGTTGAAAACTCAGCCACATTTGTGAACTCATTTTCAGAATCAGAAGGCATCTCAGAGAACTGTGTTTGGCCACATACTTCAGGCAGAGCCTGATTTAGGACAAGATTTATAAGTTTGGTAGTAAAGCCTGTGAAGTGCTCCTCTCACTGCAAGCTGAGGAAAAGACTCCATGTTACTTCTATCCAAGATGTATATCACAGTGGGGTGTGGTGGTGCACACCTTTAATCCCAGTACTTAGGGGCAGGTGGATCTCTGTGCCATGGAGGCCAGCCTGGTCTACATAGCAAGTTCTAGGCCACCTGAGGCTATAGGCAGACCCTGTCTCAAAAGAAAAACAAAAACAAAACAACCAGAATTTATATCAGAAATGTGGGTCACAGGGGCATGATTGCTAGAAGCCTGGGGCAGTCCTGTCCCCTGCTGGGCTTGTGTACTCACAGCATCACTGCGCTGGCCTCATAGACCATCACAGCTAAGGATTAATATTATATAATAAATAGCAGTGGAGGGCTGAGGATGTAGCTCAGTTGGAAGAGTGCTTGCCTAGTATGCACAAAGTCCCAGGTTCCACCTCCAGCACCTCATAAGCAAGGCCTGGTGGTACACAACTGTCATCACAGCACTCAGGAGGTAGAGGCAAGAGGATAAATAGTTCAAGGTCATCCTCAGCTACATAGGGAGCTTGAGGACAGCTTGGCCTACATGAGACCCTGACTCAAAAACTAAGAAAACATCAAAGAAATAGAAATAAATAGCAGTTGGAATTAACTAGAAGCAGGGCAATACTCACTGTAGAATGTAGTCATTTACTATACTGAAATTCAGTAGTAATCTATTTTGCAGGCAGCCTAGAATGTCCTGTAAGCTAATTTACCTACTCCCTGCAAACATTACTCCTAAGAGACCTGGCAATTAAGTCAAAGACTAATGGCTGGCAGGAAGTAAATACTCAGATGTTAACTCAACAGGTTCCAAACACTATGAACATCCTAACTGGGATGGCAACAGTGCCAGCAACAGACAAAAGCCCAAATGCAAACCAAGATAAAACGATGGTATCTTGATGTCAGATACTACTTAAAAAGTCAAAAGATTAACTACTCATTGAGATAGTTAAGTTGCCAACTTATGTTCAAGATACAAAACCCGTTTCAAATGTTCTAAACCATAGGTGTTTCTGTAAAGACTATAAAGTAATAAAAAACAGAATACATAAAAAAATAAAATAAGAAAAATGGCATTTGACACCAACCCTAATGGTCTGAGTGTTATCCCTGGAGCAAATAGTCTTCGGACCTCCACGGAAGAGACACACACACTCACAGACACAAAGACACACATAAAATAAATAAATTAAAAAGAAAATTGAGGGGCTGGGAAGATGGCTCAGTGGTGAAGGACACAAACTGCTCTTGCAGAGGACTCGTTTGCTTTCTCTGCACTCATGTTGAGGGATTCACAAATACCTTGAACTCCAGCTCCAGAGGGATCTGACATTTCTGGCCTCTGCAGATACCTGCACTCCCATACACATGCACCTACAAGTACACAGACACAGACACAAAGACAGACACACAGACACAGACACAGACACGTACACATAATTTTTAAAGATTTAATCTTTTTGTAGAAAGACGGAAATGTAGGTAGGGGA